TCAGGAACACAGGCGTAGTCAGGCTGGAGAGGTGGAATGGTCAGGCAGGCCGTAAGGTACTGTCAGGTGCCACCTGGCAGTGTCTCTAGCAGCCCACAGCACGGATTTCCTCAGGGTGCAGGGTCTAAGTCCCAGCCTGCTATTCACCAGGGCCCCTGATGGTGGGGATGGACTTGGTGCAGACTGGAAACCAGGTCGCGACCCCTGAGTGCGTCTGGCTGTGGTAGAGAATACTGGCAGGGGAGTGCAGGAACGGAGTCTGATGGGAAGAGGCAGGCAGACTTACTAAAGGTGATCCGTGCGGGATGGATGGATCGTCGGGTGAATTAAGCGTAGTCAGACAGGCCGGGTTGCTATCGTGCAGGCAGCGTGGTACAGGAGGAGCAAGCAGAGAATGGTCGGGGTCACAAGCCAGGTTCAGCAGGTAGCGGGCAGCGTGGTACCGAGGATCAGGCAGAAGGAGGGTCAGGCAAGCCAGGGGTTCAACAGGAGACGGTCAGCAGAGGTCAGGATCAAAGCAGGGTCAGCAACGAGGCAAGAACACAGGATACCAGGTGCAGGGGCTCATGGGAAACATACACCAAGGCCCTGATCACAGTCATTCCTTAAATACACCTCCTGCTATCAGCCCCAGGTGTTGGCTGACTACAGGAGTGAGCTTCTGGCTGCTGAGAGCACCCGCTGGTCAGCCCTGGTACTGCAGCCCACACGGCAGGTGAGTCCCACCACCAGTGCTGAGTCCATTCTTGACAGTCCGCCCCTGTCTATCATTATAATTTTGTTATAGTTCTGACCCATATAAGACAAAGTACAAGTAATACTTTGTCCCATGTTTCAAATTGCATTCTTACTCTAGTTTTGAGGACCAACTTGCCGAGAACAGCTCAAAAGGAGATGGCTGATTCATAGCTGTTTATAGCTTGTTTTGGATGTCGGCACTTTCTCTAGAAAAGCAACTGAGTGCAGTAGCTAACACATTCCATGTCTGCATTCTTCTTGCCGTTGCTTTTCTCAGGAAAGTGTTCACAGCCAGTGCAAGCTAAAGCTATGAATCAGCTGTTTCTTTCATAACTGTTGTTGGATTGGCCATAGTGAGGGGCAGGGAGGACCTGGGTAGGGTGAGAAATAAACTAGCAGCATGGTATATGTACTTTGTCCCATAGGGGACAGAACTGTAAAATAAAAATTATAACGATAGATCTTCTTTAACTCTTCAATAGGATACCAAAAATCGAATCCAACACAATTTTACTTTAGCTAATTGCAGTACAGAGGATGTTTTTTCCATTCTTTTGGAGTTTAAGAAGACATTGACTTTACTAAGTCCTATCTCTGCAAAGAACTATACTGACTGATTGAACATGGAAGAAACTGGGAGGGTCTAGCTAGGATTGAACTAACTAGCACTGCACAGGAGAGGAGGGGGACAGAGGAAGATACCGAATCACATAAATAAATAAGTTGTAGTGATCCAAAACTACCACTAGATGTCAGCATACATCAAAGAATAGTAACCTGATACAGTTCAATACAACCACAGACAAAATACATTCATATTGGACAGAACAAACACTAGGCAACCAGACAATACAGCATTCTATAGTCCGTATGCTGTTGACCTCAAATATTCAGAGCAAAGCAGTAAAGGATAGGTACACAAAAAAGATTAGCTGTTAAATCTGTAAAGTTGTTGGCAAACTGCTGTCAGTCCAATGGAACATCAGTCATGACATTATCAACTAGCTTTGACTACCTTGTACTCCACCTACATCTGAATTGCTTCCTCTGTCTACTACGTCACATGGAGTGGTTGGATTGATCTGTGATTTGCAATTAACCTTTCAATGGTTCCTGGAAAAGATTCCAAGAGCCAAAAAAAAAAATAAGGCTTTACTTCAACTTGCTAAAGTCCTGTTTAGACAGTTTTGCAAAATGACCTTTTGTCTGACTGGTATTGTGAAACGTGCTGGCTCTATATGGCTTCTGCTGAGCTGGCACATTTAACATCCACTGCAAAAGCAGAGCGATATTTCTCCTTACCTATCGAACGTTTCATTCTTCATAACCCTCCTGGTGATTTCACAGCCAAATGCACCAACAGTTCCATTGAGGTTGATGTGCACCTTACTGTCAGCCAGGACTTCCAACCTCAAATGCACCAACAGTTCCATTGAGGTTGATGTGCACCTTACTGTCAGCCAGGACTTCCAACCTCAAATGCACCAACAGTTCCATTGAGGTTGATGTGCACCTTACTGTCAGCCAGGACTTCCAACCTCAAATGCACCAACAGTTCCATTGAGGTTGATGTGCACCTTAATGTCAGCCAGGACTTCCAACCTCAAATGCCCCAACAGTTCCATTGAGGTTGATGTGCACCTTAATGTCAGTCACGACTTCCAACCTCAAATGCCCCAACAGTTCCATTGAGGTTGATGTGCACCTTACTGTCAGCCAGGACTTCCAACCTCAAATGCACCAACAGTTCCATTGAGGTTGGTGTGCACCTTACTGTCAGCCAGGACTTCCAACCTCAAAGCTCATCCATAAAGAAATCAAGTGACCAAGACCGAGCATATAAGCTTGAACATTTTAATGTAATTTCAAAAGTCATTTTCTATATTTTTAAATCTGCAGTATGACTGATGAATTCATCAACTCCATTCCCTCAATGAACCCCATGGATTTGAAATGGCCACAGCGGCCCTTTATTAACCAATTAAGAAAATTAATAATTTAATAAACAACCCAAATGAACCATGCTGAAAATTACATTACAATGATTGAATTCTAAGAGGAGATTTTGGTGTTTGCCAATCTAAAGACTGACTATGAGCCAACCCTGTCCCCATTTGCACCCCACCTGTTAGAGGACAGCTCCAGATTGACCATTTTCTGCCTTCTCAAGGGACCAAGGTTGGTTAAGACAACTGATAACAAAAAGGGATTGCACCACTGCATCATATGGGCACCCATTTTGTAACCATCCCGGTATACCACAGACCCCCTACTGGCCAAGCTGCCATGAAAACTCTTCCTAAAACCTGACCCAGTTGATCTATAAGAAACAAGGGTGGTGGGTGAGACAATTTTATGCTCTCATCCATGCAACTGGAATGATCCCCCAGCAACTGTCACAGCTTCTATTCCTTTGGCTTCTTCCAATCACTTGACTACAAGCCTCCAGTCAGGTAAGGCCTCTTGCATGTATACTTTCCATATGAATTTTAACTCTTTCTTAGGACTATTCTTCATGTAGCCCCTCCATTAATTTTATTCTTCCAGGTGTGTATTTTAATAAAAATAATTCTTGGTGAGCCTTGGTCCTTGTTTAGACACTTCCAAATATAGGGTGACAATGCTCTTTCCCTGTCTTTAGCATTGTCACTGTCACCCAAGCTTCTAATGAAGTTTTCAAGTGTTGTTTCAACATACATTACTCAGGCGTGGTCCATTGCTGTCACCACCAGGAAATGCCCCACAAAAAATGCCATGCAGTCATTGCTGGATTGCATGTTGATACAAATCTAAGATGAAACATGTTAGTTGCTAAACATGTTGTTGGGATAAACAGTTTTGTTAGCAACCTTAAAGTGGAACTCCACCGCATCTGAGCACCACAAGCCAAAAATGCTATTTACTTCAATGTTAATATTCAAAGCAAACTCACCCCTCCATTTATGTCTCCATGCTTTATTTTGCTAAGAAATAATTTTTAAGAAACACCCCCTGGCATTTCTGGCAGTGGCCATCTTGGGTAAGGGCAGATGATTCATGTAGCATTTACTTCCTGGAATCCATCTACCCTTAGCTCAGACATTGGCTGAGCTGAGAACCCTCCCCTTCTGAAGACTGCTGAGATGTATGACATCATTTGCCTAGGCATGGAAACCAGGAAGTAACTAAAGAAATTAAAAAAAAAAAATTAAAACAAGTAAGTATGATATATTTCCTATCTATTTACTAATGCTGGCAGCATAAGGATTCAAAATAGTCCAAGTTGATTGAGAGAGTAAAGTTCCCCTTTAAGGTCCTTCAAGTTTTGGAGATGAACTCCAGTTAAACCAAAGTCCCACCTTGCTGTAGGACTGTACCAACCATGCAGGGGCTGACTGCTTGTTTATGTCTCGGGGATCCAGGTGGATATGCTTTACTTATCTAATGCTCTGCTCCCATAGGCTAGACTGGTCCCTTCAGCCTCTTCTCCACTATGTTCCAGCAATCTAAGGTCCTCTGATATTATCAGGACGGTAGCCCATAGGGTGGGCGTGGGATGCCACAGGACAGTCCACTGCTAAAGCGCAGGGGGAGCAGATGATCAGGTAAGTGAAAGTTATTTTCCTGTCCCCTAGACAGAAACAAGCAGTCAACCCTTTCAATGAAGGCAAAGCCCCACTGCAAGGGAAAACTTTTAGTTTTCCTGGAGTTCAACTTTAAAACATGAAAAGGCTCGAGGTCTTCCCTGTTCGATCTAAAACCTACCATATTTTCCGGCGTATAAGACGACTTTTTACCCCTTGAAAATCTTCTCAAAAGTCGGGGGTCGTCTTATACGCCGGTATACGGCATGCTGACACTTTTTAGGGGGGCGGCGGCAGGGACACTAAGTACAGGGGTGGGCAGGGGCTGCTGTTTCTTACCTGGCTCCGGTCCCACGACGATCCAGTCCAGGAAGCGCGGCTGCTCCTTCATTCAGTTCGGCCACTGGATGTTTGCGCGGGCTGCTCGGCTCCGCCTCCTCACCGGTGATTGGCCGCCAGAACTGTAGCTCGGGAAAGGCACACAGGCGGCCAATCACCGGCGAGGAGGCGGAGCTGAGCGGCCCCCGCGAAAATCGAGTGAAGGAGCGGCCGGTAAGTGAGCCGTGCAGAGGTGCTGCTGCAACCACATATGCTGGCTGCAGCAGCACCATACTGGAACAGGGGTCAGCAAGTGTCATTGGTGTCAGTGGGAGGAATAGTGCCCCATCATTGGTGTCACTGATACCAATGATGGGGCATTATTCCTCCCACTGACACCAACGATGGGGCACTTTTCCTCCCCCTCACTGACACCAATGATGGGGCACTATTCCCCCCCCCCCCTACTGACAACAACAATGGGGCACTATTCCACCCCCCACTGACACCAATGATGGAACACTATTCCACCCCCCACTGACACCAATGATGGAACACTATTCCTTCCCCCACTGACACCAATGATGGGATACTATTCCTCCCACTGACACCAATGTTGGGACACTATTCCTCCCACTGACACCAATGACAGGGCACGATTCCTCCCACTGACACCAAAGATGGGGCACTATTCCCCCCCACTGATACTAATGATGGGGCACTAGTCCTCCCACTGACACCAATGATGGGGCACTATTCCTGCCACTGATACCAATGATGGGGCACAATTCCTCCCACTGACACCAATGATGGGGCGCTATTCCTCCTGCTGACACCAATGATGGGGTGCTATTCCTCCACTGACACCAATGATGGGGCACGATTCGTTGCTCTGACACCAATGATTGGGCACTATTCCTCCTACTAATACCAATGATGGGGCACTATTCCTCCCACTAATACCAATGATGGGACACTATTCCTCCCACTGACACCAATGATGGGACACTATTTCTCCCACTGACACCAATGATGGGACACTATTCCTCCCACTGACACCAATGATGGGGCACGATTCTTCCCACTGGTGTGCATTGGAAGAGGGGTAGTATAGCCCAAACACTATATTTTAACAGGAAAAGTAGGGGGTCGTCTTATACGCCGGAAAATACGGTACTATATTGTTTTGGCTGCCATTCCAGTGCGCATTAAAAATTAAATAAATACTAAGCAGACATCTGGGCACAATGTCTACCCCATGCCAGCCAGTTAGATTTAATTTTCCAACCAACAACGACAGCTGGCATTTCATTGGTTGCACTGGAGGGGACTTTGGTACTCTTTTGTGTTAGCTTTAGTAAAGAAGTCCAGGAGTTTTCTGAGGACTGTTGGCGTGTAGTCTTTGAGACGTTCTCGAGATTACAAGGGTTAAACTCTGAACAGAATCCCGAGGACTCAGTTACAGTCAAGAGTTCTTTGAGTTGGCATAAGTGCTTACAATGTTTCCTTACATTCTAATAAGTAGAGAGACCCCTGCAGACTGCGGCTCTCTCCCCCATTCAGCAGTGAATGAGAAAATTAGCGGGTTATTTCTATATTTCAGCTGAAAAATCTCCTTAATGCAACCGATTCTTATAACTGCTTTGTTGTACCAACTACTTATAATGACCCCTCTTTATCGTCTCTCCAACGCAATTAAAATTTCTTTAAGGGATCTGACAATGGCGGAGGCACTACGACCGCATTAAAAGGAACATATTGTATGTCACCATGTTATCAAAGCTATTCAGAAGAGCACATGCATTATTTGGAATTTTTTCACGTTGGATTCTATTCAAAGCAGAGTTCTGGCCAAGAAAACTTTTACACAGGCTGCCAGGAGAAAATTATTGGATGTAGAGGTTCCATCTTTGTCTAGAAATGTGAAGGAAGCCATCTTGGTCTCGGTAGCCATATTGCTGAAAGTGAAAAGTCAAGAAATGGGCTCAACATTTATTCATGCTGAGGAGTTTATTATAAACAGAAGAGCCAGTAGAGTCAGTTAGGTTTGAAGGGTGAAGGGAAGGGTGAAGGGAAATTAAAAAGCTCTCCACTGATATAATGTGTAGCACCCTCATAGCTAGGTTGCTAGAAAGGTTTAGTTAAAAAATTTTTTTTTGGCTCCTCTGTAGTCAGTGGTGTGGTGTGTGATAGTTTTGGGTTGTTCTTGGTTTCACATTGTACAGGCTCAACTGCTTTCCTCTGCCCTCTGGTGGATTCTAAAATGCAGTGGGCTGCAAGAGGCAGACCCTCATTCTGAATATTTATGTGGCCTCAGCCAATCCTGGGGAAGGGTGCCCTGTAGGTGGCCAAGTAGTGCATAAATAGTCAGAGGTCTGAGGCAGAGGGGTGCTTGTCCAGGAGGAGAAGTTCCCATCCTGAAGGACTGCTGCCCTTCTGGGCAGTACAGCTGAAGTTCACAGGAGCGCATCAATGTCCCAGCTTAGCCAGAGCTGGGGGGCCTAATTTCTGAGAATAGCTGGAACTGATCAGGGTCTTTCAATTGGGATCTCACAGGAGCTCACAGGGGAAAGGTCTGTCTGATATTGGAAGGAGGCAGAACTGAATGTAGGATCCTAGTGACTGTTTGCTGCTACTATCCCTTGTGCATCAGTGCCAGAACGTGCTTGGATTAGGACATTTTGAGGGGTTTCAGTGCTGTAATTTCCTTTGTGGCTACTAAAGGGACTATACTCATCCACCTCACCACCCGCTCCACCTCTGCCACCCCCCTCTGCCTCTCCCTCCACTGGCTCCCGATTGCCCAACGCATCAAATGTAAACTTCTAATCCTGACCTACAAAGTCGTTCATAACACTGCCCCTGACTACCTCACCAACCTGATCCCCAAGTACCACCCTACCCGTACCCTTCACTCCTCACAGGACCTCCTTCTATCCTGCTCCCTGGTCTCTTCCTCCCATGTACGACTGCAGGACTTCTCCAGGTCCTCCCCTATCCTCTGGAACTCACTGCCCCAATCCATCCGACTGTCGCCTTCCGGCGCTCCCTCAAAACCCATCTCATTCCCGTCACATTCAGGTGCTCCCTCAAAACCCATCTCTTCAGGGAAGCCTACCCCACCCTCACCTAACGGCCATTCTCCCTCATTCCTCCCACCACTTCATCCCCCTCAGCCACTTCATTCCCCTCAGCCACTTCCTATTGTTCCACTACCCCCTCCCTCCTAGATTGTAAGCTTGAAAGAGTAGGGCCCTCTTACCCCTCGTACGCTGTCTGTTTTTGTTGTACTGTGCCATGTATTGTCCCCCCTATTGTAGAGCACTGAGCAAACCCTTTGGCGCTATATAAACTCGATGTAATAATAATAATAATAATACTAAGAAGCTACATAAAGGGAAGACTGCCCCCCGATCGCTGTACTGTGTTACTAGAGCATCCCACTGCTCCCTGCATCCTAACAAAATTCAACTTTCAATAAAGCATCAAAAAAGATACCCCTAGACAGATCACTAAGCCATTAGAGTGACTGTCATGGCGTGCCTGGCTGTCTGCACAACAACTAGGGAAGAGAACCTGGGACTAATCAGACAGCCCTTTAGGGAGTGAGTGCTACAAATGCAAAGCTAGTTCTAGGTCAACACTGTCATTAAAGTCCAGAAAAATAAGGTATCTATTTAGTGTTTGATTTCCAACTAAAGGCAGAGTAATTTTTTAGGCTTTTTATACAGTAGGGATTGGTTAAAACCTATGTCATTGACTACAGGAAGCAAGAGGATTGCTCTCGAAAGCAGGGAGAACTGGGCATCTGCCCTTGGACCAATACTAATAAGATATGTTGGGTTGATGGCTTTGAGTGGAGATAGTTTAGCAATGAGACATTCATCAGATATGGACCCTCTGTGTTAGCTGAGGCATTATATCGCTATCTGCTTACGATGGGTAAAAAAGAAGAAGGTTACATAACTGTTCCCTTAAGGAAGCTTTCATAAAAGGAAAGACAACAACACACCAACATCTTTACATTCACTTCTGACAGGACAACTGACATTGGGCACAAGTTAGAACAACAATCAAGTGCTTACATAAGTTTCTGAGTTTAGGGTTGCCTGTGCGGGAGTCATTCTTCTAACGGCTTTGCCGTTCTCCAGGCCATGAAGCTAATAAACACTTTTTTCCCTTCAGGGATCTGTTACTATGGCTCTCTAGCACCCACAGTGTAGGTGAACCACTTCTTAGGCAGAAGGAGGTAAGGACAGCCTGTCCTTACCAAATAGGCTTCTGCCCCTAGGTCGCTTACCCAACCCATGGCCTACAGATTGGGACATTTATAGCACATTTGCCTCCAAAAATGGCAGCCGAAATCTCAACAGAGCTCTGTGTCAAAACTATACACAGACTCTCCCAAGTTGACCCCGATAGTGCCAGTAGTAAGTGGTGGTTATTTGTCTGCTTTGTTTTTTGCCAGACTTAGGCTCAGTTCACACTAGCTTTGTCAGAAGGCGTCAGACAGGCGTTTGGGAAGCGTTTTTAATGCTTCTCAAACGCCTATGAAAATTCTGCACATGACAGCACACACTGCTGTTCACACTGAAGCGTTAGCGTCGCGTTGCTTTGTGGCAAAACTGACACCTCGTGTTGAATCAGGAGGAGTTGAAGCCTCCCATACAAGTCTATGGTACCGCTCCGCAAACACCTGGCAGGCGTTTGCAGTGCGGTTGCAGATCGTTAATACCATTTAACGTCATTATAGGTGTTTGTGGTGTGGTTTTAACGTTTGGCAAACGCCTATCAACCGCCTAAAAACGCACATGGGGTATTTGGGGAGCATTTGAGGAGCGTTAAAACGCTTCCCAAACGCCTCTCTAATGCCTGTCAAACGCTATAGGGGTGTTTGGCAAGAGTTAGAAATAAAGTCAAGTGTGAACGAGCCCTAAAGGGGTATGTGGTTTAGGGAAGGAGCTGCATTATCAGTGACATTATCAGCCCTTAGGCAAGCAACGTTGTTCCCAACCACCTACTTCACCTGCTTACATGCTCCCCATTCGGATCTGTTATCACAGCTTTCCAGCTGGCAGACGAAAGTCTTCCAGTGCCAATTTTTTTTTGAGTCTTTTGGATATCATATGACTGAATGTCAAAAGCTGCAACAGAAGCTGACTCTGAAAGATATGAAGGTGTTTCACAATAAACTATGTCCTTTAGAAGAACCCACCTTTCACCACCTTTTGGCCTATGGATGCTTTGCTGTGCCCAATGTGCTAGAAAGTCCAGCAGAGTCATTCCCAACATTCACATATTTTATTCGCTTTTACCTGGCCACAGCTGGAGGCATCCTGGACTAGGCACACCTCTGGACCTCAGAAAAACTAGTATTTTATTTATTTTTGTAAATGCATTTATTTATTTGTTTATTTTTATCTGTGTAGCACCCTCCTAGTCAGTTAGGGGGAGCTAAGCTCTAATAGTTAGTGCTGAGTAGCTGCCTAGGCATGATAGCTAGCAGGGTTCAAATCAAATTGCGGTCAGAGTTGAGAGGCTCTGCAGACTAGCCCTCTGGAATTTTCCCCTGCTCCAGAACTTTGGAGAAAGATCTAGAAGCAGTGGGCGGATCTGAGGGACTTCGACAGCTCCCTGAGGGATGGCCACCTGTAACCTGCCTGGTAACAGCCACTAACCCACCAGCAGCACAGGAGAAGGACTGAGTGAGTAGACCTGCAACCCCCTGGGCCAGATAAGGGAAACTGGATTAGCCTGTAACCCAGGACTGTTTCACCATTTATGTGGCAGACACTGGATCCCCTACTCAGGGATTCACCCAGAACAGCTGGATAAGGAGTATCTAGGGTCTGGGGTGGTACTACAGGAGACGCTGGCTAGCTCCTTAAAAGAGACTGTTTGCTGTAACCACTTGTATATATTTCAGAAAGTTGTCCTCGGTTTC